CAAAGCCTTTTGTGGCTCCAGATAATGTTATAGGAGTGCAAATGCTAAATCCTGGGTGATACTTGATGTCTTGGTATTGTTTTGAGGTGATTGTGGAAACATGTTCATTTTTAGATTACTGGATATCCCAGTCTTTATATCAAGTCACAGGGTGTTGTTTCAGGAGGTGCTATGGGTGTTCAGTAGTCACAGAGGAATAAAACAATGCAGCTAAAATAACAGCAGCACAATGTGGTTTGCTGAAATTGTTTTTACTCACAGGAGGTCCAGGGATTCCAGGAGGACCTTTAGGTCCGAGCAAACCACGAGGTCCCTAGAGACACACACACACACACGCAAGCCAAGATCAGTCAATAGTCAAAGTTGTAAATTACATATTCAAACAGCCTTACATCAGCAGTAACATTAGCATTAAGGCAAATTAAGATGTAGTTGAAGTTAGTGGTGATGGTGGTGTACTGGACCGGTTTATATTGAGAGGTGTTTCTAATATTCTGCGTCCCTCATGTTTATGTGCAACTGAATTTAGACATTTTGGAAAATGTCAACAAAAACGGAACATTGTCGACTCTGCAAAGGTAGTAGATAGGTACAATATTATAAATTAAAGAAAAATAGCAATTTGTCTTATTTTATAAGTTTTGTAACATTTTGAATGTTTACTGTTTTTATTGATGTTAATGAAGGTGACAGGTATTCACATCCAGACATCTATAAGCTATTACTTTTCAGTCTGCATGTGTTGGTAACTTTTTTATGAAAACAATTGTACCATACACCTGTGATCCTGGCAGCACTCGGCTGTATCTTCTACCCATCCATAAGCCCTAGACATAATTACAGTGAACCCCAACTATTTCATGTATTATTGCTGGTGAGAAACAACAGGTGTAACAGGAGCATAAGTGAGACTGAGATAGTACAAATTAGAGTGAGAGCTTTAAAATCTGCTGTGTTGTCATGGAAACACTCACTGGTTCACCTGGGAGACCCCTGGGTCCAATGTCTCCGTCATCTCCCTGCAAACACACACAGAAACAGCACGCCAAGGACAGAATGACGTTGATTATTAACATTTATGTAGCGACACAAAGACAGATGTACAGATGTAGAGCTTGGAATAACTTCAAATAATCGTTCATATCATCATACCCTCTCTCCATCCTCTCCTTGAGGCCCTGGGGGTCCCATCGCTCCTGAGTCACCCTGGGCAGGAGAGAGGAATCAGAAACATTCTTTAGTTTTTCTTACATATATTGTTATTAAAGTATTAAAGTTCTTATACATATTCAAAAACAATCAATATTTTTTCCTGCCACTACGACCACTCTACCAATAATAATAATATGTGAAATGTATGTGGCATTTTGATTGTGATTTGCTTTTGACTCACCCTGTGTCCTTTGTCACCGGGCAAACCAGGAAGGCCATCAAAACCACGATCGCCCTGAGAGAGACACAGACATGTGTAAGGTATCATTACTGAAGACCAAGTAAAGCTAAAGTAAAGTAAGCTGGTTTAATCATATTCCAGTATAGCCCATCGGGGTTATTTTGACCATAAAGGAAGCACACCAGAGAGAGGTTACCTTAGTTCCAGTCTCTCCTGGCATTCCCCTGGCACCATCAGCTCCAGCACGGCCCTGTTAAAAGACAAGCAGAGGAAGAACATGTTTTAAAGTGCTACTGCACACGAGACAATAGTTGAGACACATGCCAAATACCAATGTTTTGTTTTTGACAGGGCATGATTGGCTAAGATAGAGAGAAAAGAAGATTATGGAAGAGCACTAGGTATGGAAACAAATGATTAGTTGTCTAAGTTTTGCAGAAGGTTGACAAAACCCTTTGTGGAGACTTCTGGAGGTGGAGTGGACTAACTGATTACACAATTCAGTTAAATCTTTATTTACATAGCACCAAATCACAACAAAAGTTTACCCACTTTTCATATAGAGCAGGTCTATACCCACACTCCCTATAAAATTACACTTGTTATTGGTTTAAATATCTACATAATTTATAACAAAAGGTACATAAACTTAGAGCAGCCTCTGAGCTTCTCTCTGAGAAACAGAGCAGTAGGTTAGAGATTAGTTATGTAATGCCTGTCTACTTTTGGTTAAACAAACAATAAACAACTAAATGAATAACCAATGACAAGGCAAGCCAGCCATTTTTATACTCACTCTTCTTCCTGCTTTGCCTGGGGGTCCCATCAAACCTGGGGGTCCCCTGGAACCCTGAAAAATTGATTGATTGATTGAGATGTCTGGGATACATTTTTGCAATAGATCATTAATAACATACACAATACTGTACTGTACTACACGTAAGGGTTGATTACATGATTTGACATACAAATGATTTAAAAGATTAGATTTTAATGGGAGGTCAGGGTTCAGGATTGGCCCACTAAGTGTTTTTACCTGAGGACCAGGGTCTCCACTCTCTCCCTTCAGACCAGAACTTCCCGGATTTCCCTGAAATAGACACAATAATCAACATCATCAACTACTACTCATTCTTCCACATGCCTTAATGATGAGAAAAGAAAATCAGCTGTTAGACAATTAGCAATGATAACAACAAACTCTTGATATGAACAGCTAAAGGTCCAATTGATAGATAACCCACCAGGGGTCCAGGGCGTCCAGTGAATCCCATTGGTCCAGGAGGTCCTTTCAGAGCCATCTAGAGACATTAAATCTCAAAATCAATGATGATGAAGGCACATGGTTTCATATAATGTTGGTCGTGTATGAAGAAATACATCAGCTAAATGCAGTGTTCTTACAGATTCCCTTTCAAAATTCCATACATTTCCAAACATAAATTCTTCTATCTTCATAAAGTCTTCTCGGTAGATTTTTCAGACCATATTTGACATCTGAGTACAACAAATTTTTCTATACTAACTAAATGGTTTTGAAAACCAAATGTTAACATGTATGTTACATTATGACTATGTATGCTATTATGTTGCCATATAATTGCCAGAAGATTGTAGCTACATACTGTAGCTCATACAAATCAACTTTTCTCTCATTTGGGATCCTTGCCGCATTTTCTTTTTAAACAAATTTGGTCGCAGATGCCCAGATTTAGTACATTTATGAGACACTTGGGGCAGAGCTTTGCAGGCAGAGATGTACAGGCCTAGAAGCAGCTCTGCGTAGTGTGCGTTCAGTTGTTTGAACAGTTGTTGTTTTTTGTTGTGTATTCTATCGTTTTCATACTGATATGATCCTTGAGGCAAACTAACAGCACAATGGAAATGTGAGGTAAAGTGAGGACTGACCCTGGCCTGAGACAAGATGGCTGCTGCCTGGGCTTCCTGTGCAGAAACAACAGGACCCTTGTCTCCTCCACTCTGACCAAAACGGAACTGAAAAGAAAAGAAAAAAGCATTTAGACTATGTGAGTTGCTAATAGTACTGTGCCTAATGACTTGTATGGGGCAACTGTTGGATAAACTGAATATAATTTTGACAAATAAATGATCATACAATAATATGGCATGCTTATAGACTACAGCTGTGATCAGTAAGAAATCTACAACTTATTGGTCACAGTACAAGGGTCCCAGTATTCATTTCTAATAAAGGATAAAAGATATTGGTGACTCACAGGCAGCATGACTGAGGTTCCAGGAGGTCCAGGGACTCCATCAGCTCCAGGCAGACCAGCCTTACCAGGAGGGCCCTGCATGATGGAGAGAAGAAGAGGTGAGCTGGCAGGCTCAAGGATAGAATAGAAGTAAAATACGCTCTATCTGCAATGACCAATAATGTCTCAGAATCCTCTGCGCACACTTAGCACTAATGTCTAATGTGTTGTGATGCACTCACCCTCTCGCCAGGATCACCAACAGATCCAGGAGGTCCAGAAGAGCCAGGGGGGCCAGTTGGACCCTGAAAGAGGTGGGGAAGGAGCTTAAATATTCTGATTACAGACTCAATGAGCTGGTCATTTTCTCTCTCACTGAAAATGGTGTTTCAAAGAACATTTGAGAAATAATGTTAATTGTCACAACCTTACTACAGTGCCAGTTACTATTGGCAACAAGAAAAATACACTACCAAAAATATTTCATAGCTTAGAGAATAAAGGTAATAATCAAGAAGACCAAATTACAAGAGTATTAATATAATATTTAGACATAAGTAATATGTCTTTTGGAAAGAAAACAAGGGAAAAACCATCATTTACTCACAGCAGGTCCCTCAGGTCCTGGAGGTCCTTCAATCAGCATACCCTGCAAAAGTCAAAATAAAGTCAAAAATGTTACACAGGAGGACAGAAACCTGATGAAAGGAGTTTAAATCTGGGGGTGTACATTGCAAAAATACAAGTCATCACTCTATTAATCAGACTCCTGATTTTATGAGATTTGTTTGTTTGTAATTCACCTTAACTAGTTAAAAAAACATTTTTGAGGGATTTGTCCTTCTTCAGTGGCTGCATTTAAGGTTAAAAAACTGAAATATGCCTAAATGACAAAAATCTTAAAACCATGTTCAGCCTTTTTTAAGAGGACAAGAAGTGTATGTTTGTCATTTAGTCTTTAGATGGGCATAGTTGCTGTGATTTGAACTACAAATGTTCTAAGCTATAGGGAGTTTGTCAAGTTCCCAAGTGGATACTGACACAAAGTGAACAGGTCATAGACATATATAACAACTCACTGGCAACAATTTAAACAAATATATAAATCCTGTGATTTTACAACATATAGAAGGTATGGTTCTTGTGGCAGTAGTAGTATCCTAATAGGTGAATGTATGTTACATTTTTAATCACACCCTCAAATTGATATAATAGAATTGGTAAATCTATCTTGAATTACTATGGATGATGAGCAATTGCCTTATAGTTAGAAAAGCAAGATTATGACTGGAGGGTTGTTCGTGGAAACCCCTGGAGCTTCTAGGAAAAGCGACAGGGGGAAGCTTTCCCTTTCTGTCACAGAGCGAGCCAGTTATAAGCCAGTTAATACACCTGCTCAGGTAAATTGGGTGAAAGACAATCAGTAACTCACAGGCTCCAAGACAGCAGGTTCTCCTTTGTCTCCTTTCTGGCCTCTGATGGCAGCCTGAGGAAAACACACATGTAGCCAACAACACAGCGTAGTCAGTATAGAGGTACTCACACACACCCATCAAAAATAAAAAAGACAAAGACACTCATGGAATGGATATTATAGACAACACTGTTTTTGCTGCATGCATTTAAAATACAAGTAGATGCACACTCACATAAAGACACCAACATTAGTTTGCCACATTATACCAAACACTATTATGCCAGTGTAGAAAATAGAATAATAAAATGAAAACCTGTTTTGCTCGTGATAAAGGCATAAGCTTTCGTCCAAATACCGATGATTCAATGGTTCTCCAAACTGTCAGTCCATTACTTGTAGAATCTTTTGCATAGATACAGAGAATCATCTGGGCTTAGTAGCTCTAAATAAAGCCATACACTGACATAAATGGCATTCAAGACAAAAAATGCAGCAGTCGGTTACTGCCGCACTTCCAAATGCCTCTTTATGCAGTGTATGTGATAGTTCAAGTTATCGTTTCTGTTTATTAGGATCCCCAATAGCTTCTACCATGGTAATAGCTATTTTTCCTGGGGTCATGAGTTGCTCACTATACACCGTATAGAATAAAACCAATTTCAACCACTCATGTGGGTACTAGATCTTGGTCCTTAAAGTATTTGAAATGCATTCAAATACAGATTGGTCTGTGATTGATTGAGCTTGCCTGGCATAAAACTGAATCTGTGAATTGTCCATACATGCATGGTGGCCAATTTTTAATTTACTTGTATCACACTATGAGTGGGAAACTAAGACAGGTGTTAACAGCCAGTACATAAAAAGGTACATTTTTAAGGTCAAGTATAAATAGGTAGGTGTAGTCAAAGTTGTAGCTGGTCCTCCAGAGATTTCTAAATTGATATTAGAATATTTAGGTCTATCTGAAGTCACACTTATGTGTTAAAGTGAAGGTAATTATGGCTACATTCTCAACCCTATCTTCCAGGTAACATTTTCTACAGTTCCATGTGTTCAAAATAGCCACCACGGGGAAGAAGGTCAGTAGGTCTCAGAGTGGTAAAAAAATAATAGTAATAAATGGTATCTCTCAATAATGGCCTTTGAGAGACGGCAAACTCAAACCAATCATTTGAGAGGACATTGAATACAATTTGACAAAGACTAGGATTCAGAGTTGGTTGAAACTGATTTTGTTTTTTTTTTGCCTGTGAAGCAAAACGACTTACGCCTCCCTCATCTGTCACAGCGGACAGGACGGGGCCCATGTTGGCATCGACCTCTCCAGTCTCCAGTAATGGCTCATTGTAGTCCCTGTAGGAATAGTCGTATTCCTTAAGGCCCACGTCCCCAGTCACATACTCCTCAGTGAAGACCTCCTCGCCCACACCGCCTGCCTTGGTGGCATCTACCTCCTCTCCCACCAATTCTGGCTCCACCTGGGGCTGGGTTGGGTTTATCAGAGCCGCAATGGGATAGACAGAGGGGTACGAGAGGATGAATCAAGCAAAGGAAAATAAAGATGCAAGAGGAAGAAGGAACAGTGAAAGGGAGAGGGGTGTATGATGGGGAAATGTTAGTAAAGGCAAGATAAATATAGAATGAAAAAACAGGGGGATTGGAAGAGGGGGGCATATATAGAAAAAAAGTGAGTCTTACCTCTTGTAAATAAACAGTAGGGACAGAAAACAAAAAGACATCTGGAAGACTGTAGAGACTCTATTAGTCCTTCTTGTTATAACTTCAGTATGAAGGCTTTTTTTAGGTGAGTTATTATGGATTATGAGGTTTATCCTGCAACCTTAAATCTTCTGTTAATTATCTGTTGAGCTTATAATAGTATGTTTCCACCAAAGCATATCTTCATCAGCTTGTGTGTGATGGCCTGTAACCAAATGATTTCTCCAAATTTGCCGAAATATATTACCTGACATTATAAGTTTGGTTTAAATCAATAAAGAGAGAAAAAAGACACTTTTATTGTCAAGGGCATGCTTGCATAGTCCCCAAACACACAGAACTGATATGAAATCTTTGTGCAAACAACTTTGTGCTATGCAAAGCAAAAAATTTTATTTTCTATTTTACTTACCACAAATGTTTTAAAAACAAATATGAATCCAGTGGAAGTAGGCTGTACTGTTATCTCATATAAAAATGCAATCATTGAGTACATCGGAAGCACTATCAAAATAAACTTTAAATAATATTTATTCATTCCTAAAATATACCACATAGAACTGACACATTTTCTTCCATCAAAACAGAAGCAAAAACATCCTAAGCATCAAAACTGGAAAACAAAACAAAGTCATCAAAGGCAGGTAAAAATAGTTAAAATGGGAATGATGACAATATGGATAATTGCCACAATGAACTGTGAGAAACAGATCAGAACTGTGAGAAAATCATTCTCAAATTCTGATAGTTTAGGGCTGTAGAGAAAGCCACAGCAACAACTGTATTCTTTAGTTCTGTTAGATGTTTCTCTCAAAGAAGAATACATTATATTCATCTCCCTTTGGTTAAAAGTGCATATCAAATATTCCTATGCGGGTCCCTTTTTTCACAAGATTTTTGTTCTTATGTCAAGATCACTACCTGTTTAACCAAGGACTTTGATATGAGAACAAAAAAGGAATCTTGTTGTCAGGAAAAAAGAGAGCCACATAAAAATGTTTGATGATACAAACAGATGAATGTGGTGCATTCTCTAGTGAGAAGTTTTTCTCTTATGTCTTGTCATGTGGCATCGGTGCCAACAAAACATTGATGTGCGGTTAGAAAAGTGTAAAGGAGACACAAAGCTATAACTACTGGGTTAAACTACTAAAAGAATGAGCTCACCACTATACAGGTATTACACTGTCTTCTTCCTTTGGTGATGGAAGTCTTTTGCGTTGAGGTGATTTATTCCTGTTTTTGTCACTTTGAGCTCATTGTTAACTTTTGAGTTTTAACATTTT